ATAATATTTAATATATAATTAATTTAACTAATTATATTTAATTATAAATAATTAATAATTAATTAATAAAATATAGTAATCATTCATAATTAAACTAAATTAATTATGATTATTTATTAATTAATTATAATTAAAGTAATTAAATATAAATAATTAATTATATTTAAATATAATTAATGATAATTAACTAATATTAGGATAATTAATTACAATTAAATTAAATTAATTATAATTAATATTATTTTTAATTGATTTATAATTAAATAATAATAAGTAAATAAAAATTCTCCCTCCCCCTCTCTTCTCTGTTCTCTCTACATTTACGGGATATGGCCGAACAAGCACGTGAAAGGTAGAACGTTACCTTCACAGCAAGCGAGCTCTCGGTTGCTCCCGATCAAATTGTTATAACTTCCGATCCAGCGGGCAGAGGGGGATCCTGTCCAGAGAAGTGGAGTCGGGTAGGAGAGGAGGTCTCGGCTTGGTGAGAAGGTGGAGTTCGGCCTGAGGGAATGAGGTAGGGGATTGCTCTCTTCTCTCTCTCTTTCTTCCTCTCTCTCTCTCTCTCTCTCTCTCTCTCTCTCTCAAGATCAGGAAGGAGGAGGCCGGAGCTCGGGCTACAGGCGCTGGAGGTCGGGCAAGGGTCGGGGTTCCCGTCGGGTTGAGCTTCAGTACAGTAGAGCTAGGTCGGAGGAGCTGAGGTATCGGGAGAGCAACAACTAGCGGGATTCTTGCGTATGGGGATGTCGGGAATGGAGGAGGGGAAGAGAGGAGGCTTTGACGGGAGAGCAGAGAGGGGTCGCTCGTGGGAGGGAGAGCGAATGGAAGAAGTGCCAGCCCCGAATGCTCTGTTTGGACTGGTATTTAACGACGCTGAAGAGATGCTATCGAGGCGCTGCAGAATCGCGGGATACCTGGGAAGCGATCGCGAACGGCGCCGAATCGGCGTAAATCTCGACAGAATTCGAGGATCTAACTGGTAAGAGGCTTGTATGCAGGATTTCTACTTTCAGTTTCTTCTCCCTTTTGTTCCTTTGGGTTTGATCCGTAGGTCAACAGTAAGAAAGTGTTTGTTCGACTTTTCAACAATAAAAATACCAACAACAACATGAAGCCTTTATCCCATTACATGGGCGGCTGCATAAATCATTTTTCTCTATTTTGTTTTGTTAAGAGTTAAATTCTCTTTTAAATCTAATAAAGAAAGGTCATTTCTAATATTTTCTAACTAAGTCTTTTTAGGTCTACCTCTACCTTTCTTAATATAAGCCAAATCAAATTCATCTTTTCTCCTAAATGGGTCATCTGAAGGGCACCGTCTTATGTGACCAAATCCTCTAAGGCGACTCTCTCTAATCTTATCTTCCACTGGAGCTACTCCCACCTTTTTAGGTATATGTTTGTTTCATATCCTGTCTCTAAGAGTAAAGCCATTCATCCACCTGAGCATCCTCATCTCTACAACACTTAACTTAATATTATGCTTCTCTTTTAATAGGCAAGATTCTGAACCATAAAGCGTTTTAGGTCTCACCACCATCTTATAGAATTTTTGCTTAAGTTTGAGGGGTTTTTTTATCACATAGCAAGCCATTCCTCCACTTCAACCATCCAACTTGAATTCTACTAAATATTATTATCATCTATTTCACCATCACTCTGAACAATAGACTCAAGATATCTAAAACTTATACTTTTATTAATGACTCGATCGCTCAAATTATTTTTATTAGAAGAGGTTATTCATAAGCCAAGAAATTCCTTCATCCCCTAAGTATTTTCACACCTCTATTAAAATATCATCAGGTCCAACAACTTTTTCACACATCATTTTCTTTAAAGTCTCTTTAACTTTAATTTTACTAATACGTCGATTAAACACAAATATTTATTTTCATTTATGGTGCTAAGGTTATTAAAGTCAATCATATTCTCAAAATCTTCATTGAAAAGCTTAGCAAAATTTCTCATCCACCTTTGTTGAATAACCTCTTCTAATAAAAATAATTTTTTGATAATAATCCTTAATGCACTTCACTTGAACTAAATCCTTATTACTCTTATTTTTTTGTTTGGCTAATTTATAAATGTAACTTTTCTCTTTCTTAGTATCTAATATATTATATAAATCTTTAAAGGTTAAAATATTTGCATCGCATATTATTTTATCGGAGCCCTTGCCTATTTAACACCCCGCATGCGGGTGCAATGACCGTTGCACACTTCTCATTGTATTAAGGCCATACAATGGATCTTTTATAAGAAACTCCCTAACATTAATACAATGTATTAAAGGTATTGTTTGGCTTTTTCAAAAGAAAAAAAAAAAGGTACACGTAGCGGCTTTAAAAAAATTTGCATTCCTCACGATAGCTCTGCAATTATAATTTACTTTTACAAATACTCATCTTTATCAGCACTTGCATGGGTGCTCATTCCCATTATATCACTAGGGAAGGAAACTTCTCTCAAATATGTTTTTTTACATCTGTGTCAAAGCATTTGTCGGTTTGCATTTGCAGGGATCCAAACCAGGAGAGGATCCAGCTTCACAGTCCCTAGATACTACTGATGTGAAGCCTACTGGATCCCCACCAGGCTCTTCAACGGCTGGTGTCTCCGCTGATGAAAACCGAAACTATGTTGTGATTGCTGGGGCTATTGTTGCTATATCTGCACTAGGCTGGTATTTGCTTTCAAAGCCAAAGAAATCTGAAGAAGTCTCTAAGTGAGCTCAGCTAAGCAAAAGACTCATTTCATCTCTTTTTTTTTTTTCTTATTTGCTACTGTTTACTGTGATATTGGGATTACCTCCATCTACTTTGATCTTATGCTACTTTTCATAAATAATGATTTGCACTTGATAGGTTCTTCTGGAGAACATCTTGCAGCGTATATTGATTGTGCACAATTCTTGATTGCTATTACCTAGTGAAAGCTTGTTAGCCACTGGATCAAAAGGAAATTTTTTTGGCATCATCTTGTTCAAGTTGTGCTTGTTATTGCATTTGAATATGGTTATGTTGGATTATTATACTAACCTGTTTAGCCTTGCATTGTGGTTTTCCATGCCTGTTTGCCTCCTTAAGGTTTTATTTGCGGGAATGTTTAAGGGAAAAGAAATTAATAAAAAAATGATATTTGTTCGGATGATATTTTTTCTTATTATTTTTAATTTTTTTTCCCTTAGAAATTGAGAACATATAATATAAATTATGATTGAGAAAATAACTTATAATAATGTAAATAAAAAAATAGAGGTTGTTTTTAATGAAGCTTTTGCGTTGCTTCAAAATTTCATTCTAATGCAGCCTCTCCCCAGTGACGTCAACATTATGAACTATAGTTATTTTATAAAATGTGTTATTTCTGCAGGGCGGCACTGCACCATTGTAGAGATGTTCGACTTGTGAATCAAGTCTAACTCGTGAATTAGTTTGAGATTGGCTTGATAAATGGCTCATGAGTTATATTTTGTGAGCTAACAAGTCAAGTTTAGCCAATCCTGACTCGACTCAGTAGCTCGTGAGCCGGCTCATTAAAAAAAAAATAATTTAAAATATGAATAAAATATATTAGAATTCAGGATTGTAAATAAGAAGTTATTAAAAATATTTTAAAATTGTATCACATTATTATCATATATTTATCGATTCTTTTTATTTTTTAATAATTTTTTTTTTATCCTATCTTTGTATTAATGGTTTAAATTATAATCATTCTCTCTATGTTATAATAAATAAGTTGGTTAGGGAGCCATATGTGTGTTGGCTCGAACTTGTAGAATAATGTTTGAGGTCAAGTTTTAACTCGATTAATTAAGCTCAAGTTAGAACTGACAGCACGGTTTGATTTTTTTTAACATTCCTAAGAGATATTACATAGATTCTAGATGTTGATTTCATGGTCATGAATGAGGAATGATTTTGAATCAGAATATTCTTTTCGATCCATTTTTTGTCAGGATTAGAAGAAAAAACAACTAAATATGAATGACATTGCCTAAAATGAGGAAGACGTTCAAAAAAAAAAAAAAAAATCAGCATTGCGGATCATTTTGTTTTCTCAAAAAATCTAAGCAATATTTTATTTTAAGTATTCTCTTCCGAATTTAACTATTTACAATTTTATTCTGATACAAGTGACTTTACTAATCATTTTGTTTTCTAAAAAAATCTTATCATTATTCAGTTTAAGTATTGGCTTCCGCATTTATCTATTTTACTATTTATTCTTGATATATTATCAAAAAATTATTTTGATAGAACATGAATCTCGAGAGAAAATCAGCTTGGAAATTTTAAATATTAAATTGGAGTTCATTTGAACTCTGATTTTAGCAAACTTATTGTCAAACTGAACGTCTTGAAAGTACGAACCTAATGACATCAAATTCGACTCAATCTTAGCCCAAATGAGTTCAAATCAAAGACCTGAACCATATTTGAAAGTTTCAAACCATAATTTAGATTACCAGACGGTTTCCAAACGTGACATACTTATAGTCGAATCGAGCGGTTCGACGAGATGAATCCAATGAGCCTATGATCGTCAAATTTTAATATCATTAAGACATTCAAATGCCTAATAAATGGTTCACAATCAAGGGATTCAACATCAGCCGTCCATTCAAAGCACACATAATTTACCCTTTGATCATCATCTTATTTAGTGGCAATGCCACTCTTAGAAAACTATAAATAGACCTCTCATTTCTCATGAAAGGGTGGAGGATGAAGAACCCAAGCTAGAAGAGAATGAATAGAAGGAACAACTCTATTGCCACTAGACTTTTCCTCGACCACTGTTGGACTTCAGCTCGTCTACCAACAGTCGCTGGACATTCGCACGGCTACCTGTCACACCCCAATTCGACCTACCCCTTAACGGTCAATGTGGAGTATAATAGAGAAGGAAAATCTAAACTTGTTCCTTCATACTAACACCCATTTTGAGCTATCACTTTCAGAATGAAGTGAGTAAAAGAAATCTATTTAGACTCCCCTAATTTTCCAACCTATATAATTCCATTATTAATAATGGGAGGCATATAATGTCCCTTAATCAAATATAATTGAAGTAAATACAAAGCTCTATTAAAACTTTTAAAATTCATTCATATACCCAAAAGTTTGTACATCTAGGATTCAGATCTCAACTTAGATCTCTTTGCACATCCAAAATGTATTTACACCAAAAGAATGGTCACCTATTTTTATTGTCCCAAGAGCTCCTTCCCCTTTCTTGTAGTACAACTGCTGCTAATGAGCTAGGCTCAATAAAATACACGAGCAATTTATAAGAAATAATAATAAACAAATAAGAAATGCTTAACAATGCTAACATAGTTAAAACACATTAAAATGTCATATTGAGCCTAGAAGTGCTTAGCTTAACAGTATTATTCATCTTACCAAAATTGTTTAACATTCTTAAATAAGTCTTATAATGGCTATAAGCTTTTGCACCATTTTAGCATTTCAATTATAGGTTGGGTCTAATTTCCTAACTTTTTAGAATGGAAGCTGTACTCTCATTCAGGGTTGAGTCAATTTTCGTAACTTCTAGAATTGAGAGTGTAGGCTTACCTCATCAGGTCTTTTGACTTTACTTGTGCAGCCTATCCCCCATATATAACTTGTTTCACTTTTCATATAGTCATCCTTTTTAGCCCTATTGTAATATGATTTTGATGACATAGTCGCGCTTTAGTTGCTCTTCAGCTGCCCTTTATCTGTCCTTTAACTGCCCTTTAGTTGCCCTTTAGGTGCCATTTAGGTGCGCTTTAGCTGCCCTTTAGCTTCCCTTTAGATGCCCTTTAGCTGCCATTTAGCTGCCCTTTAATTACCCTTTAATTGCCATTTAGTTTCCCTTTTGCTATCCTTTAGCTGCCCTTTAGTTACCCTTTAGTTGCCCTTTTGCTATCCTTTAGCTGCCCTTTAGTTACCCTTTAGATGCCCTTTAGTTTCGCTTTAGCTGCCCTAGTTCCCTTTAGTTGTGCTTTAGCTACCCTTTAGTTGCGCTTTAGCTACCCTTTTTTTATTCATTTGTTTATGAATATTTACCCTTTTAGGCTTACAAAATCATTAACATTGATAAAGATTACTCTCTATGTAAACAATTTTATAAATATTCTACCATGTTCATACAAAATAATTAAAATAAATTGAAATATATGTGATCATAAGCATAATCAAGATGAAGTGCAATAATAAAATATTTACTAATTCTTATAATCTTGGTTGGGTATCTCACCTCGCTAGGAATTTGTTCTCCTAGACTTTGTCTTTCTTTTCTATTGTAAACAATCTCAATTAAGTTCCTCTTCATTCAATAATAATATTTTTCTTTCTTTTCCTATATCCAGCAATCTAACATAATGAACTCAGCTACCACCAACTGATTTTAGTAAACATTATTACATTCCATCCTTTTTAATCATAGATTTCAGCAAAAGTTCATTTTAGTAACTATAAATTATTTTACCTGGACTTTATCCTCCCAACTGAGCCTTCATGAATCCTCTAGCACCCACTCACAATAGCTTAACAAACTCTAGATAAACTTATATATGGTAAAAAATTGGGAATGAGAAGTGAACTAAAACCTTTTTTATAGTTCAGTGCTCTTTCCACTTAGTCCACCGAACTCACCCTTAGCCGTCAGATTACAGCATGCCAAAATCAATCCCTTGCATGCTCAGATTAGTGGAATAGCCATAGTATAATATATATTAAATAAACTGCATGCTACAATATTATCCACTATCGAATTAATTATTAATTAACTAAGTTGATTAATCTATTAAATAAATTTATATATATATAAAAATTTATAATAAAATAAGTTAATGTTTAGATGAAGTTAATACTTACATTATTTTGATCATTTTGAGGGCATTACAATCATCCCTCCTTTTTGAAATTTATCCTCAAAATTATTTTAGCGATCATCAAACAAATAAGGGAATCTCAATTTAATGTCTTCCTCTCTTTCCTAGGTTGCTTCTTTTTTTGGCATGCATTTTCATTTCACTTTAACATATGAAATCTATCGATTTATGAGTTGTTTAGTATCAAAATCTAGTATTGCTTCTGGTTCTTCAGTATAAGTCAAATTTTTTTATAAATCAATTTCATCATGTGAAATTCTCCGATGGACATCTATAACCCATTTTCTTAGCAATAACACGTGAAAAACATTATGAATATATGACATGTCTGTTGGAAGAGCAAGTCTATAAGAAACTTTTCCAATTCTTTCAATAATTTCAAAAGGTCCTATATATCTAGGATTCAATTTGCCTCCCTGACCAAATCTAGTTGTAAATTTCACAGGCTTAACCTTCAAGAATACAAAATCACCCACTTCAAACTTTACTGCTCTATGCTTGGGGTCGTAATAGTTTTGCTGATGATCGTGGGCAATTTTTAATATATCTCTGATTAATCTAATTTTCTTTGTTGCTTCATCAACTAACTCTAGACCCATTAATTGTCTTTCTCCTACCTCAACCCAAGGTAAGGGAGTTCAGCATTTTCTAACATAAAGTGCTTCATATGGCGCCATTTGTATACTAGATTGATAGCTTTTATTATAGGCAAATTCTATTAATGGTATGTAATCTTCCCAACTACCTTTGAAATCCAAAACACATAATCTCAATAAGTCATCCAGTACTTGAATGGTTCTTTCTGATTGACCATCAGTATAAGGGTGAAAGACTGTACTGAAATGCAGATTTATACCAAAGTTTTCTTGATTGTTTTTTCCATAGTCTAGAAGTAAATCAACCATCTTTATCTGAGATAATAACTTTTGGAATACCATGTAATCTAACAATGTCTTTTACATACAAGCGTGCCAATTTGTCTATTGAATCAATATACTTAATAGGCAAAAAGTGAGCTAATTTTGTTAGTCTATCAATAATCACCCAAATGCTATCATGTCCCCATTTGGATCTTGGAAATCCCATAACAAAATCCATTGCAATGTCTTCCCACTTTCACACAGGGATAAGTAATGATTGCAGTAAGCCATTGGGTTACTAGTGTTTCGTTTTCACC